TATTTTAAATTAGGCTAGTGTTATCCGATGTTATTGGTGTTTCTTATTCTCCGAACGTTTATTCCTAACTGACATTGCTTGGAGTTAGTATCTCTTTTTGTACTAAAAAAAAAAGTCAATTTAAAATTTTGATTGGGATTTATTGATAATTAATAGAGTTAAATTCTTAATTAACATTGTACCAAAAAAAAAATTCTTTATTAACATCTAAGATTTTAATACTATTTGTATTTTGAAAACTTTATACTCCCTCCGTTTCAAATTATAAGTCGCTTTGACTTTTTCGGTACATTTACTTTGCTATGTATCTAGATAATGATATGTCTAGATACATAACAAAATGAATGAATCAAAAAAGTCAAAACGACTTATAATTTGAAACGGAGGGAGTATATGATAAGGAAGAAAAAACGAAAAAAAAAAGAAGAAAAAACGAATATTTAAAAAAATTCTTATAAATATTAATAATAAAATAAATAACAAATAAATACTAGATAATTAATTAAAAATCCTTTTTCATATCCACCACCAACAGAACAAACATCTCGTTTCAGTTCAATCGTCGTCTTCCTTTTCCTGAACCTTCTCCATCTCCTGTTCTCTCTCTCTCTATTCTCTCTCTTTTTTGATTTGTGTATTTAAGCTCGTGCGAGGCGTTGTGTGTTTTTTCTCGTACTGGGTTTTTCTTATCAATTCTTCTACAATCGATTTCTGTTATCCGGACTGTCAGTGAGGTTTTTCGTTTTGATGCTCTTTTGATCGTTCGGGAGCTGGGGTTTTGTGTGGATCGTTTTCCGATTCATTGNNNNTTTTTTTTTTTTTTTTTGTGGTTGAATTGATTTTCTCCGGAGGGAAATGGAGTCTCCGGAGAGGGAAAGGCCGGCGGCTGGGATTGCCATGGAATTCCCGGCCAGCGAAGGGGCTTTGTCCTGCTCGCCGCCGACCATGCCGTCGTGGCTCAGGAGGAAGCTTTCGGAGCCGAAGACGCCGCAGCCTACTACTGTTGAAGAAATCCAAGCCAAACTCCGTGAGGCTGATCGTAGACGCCAGGTATCTTCTTCTTCTTCTTCGTGGTTGCTAGCTGAACTTGTTGAAATTGGGGAAATTCTTGATGGGTTTTTCTACAAATTTGATTTTGAGATATTCTTATGCTTTGAACTGCTTTTGGTATTTGATTGCGATCATTTGCATTATTTCTTCTGCAGTATTGTACTTACTATCAAGGTTATGTATTGTTGAAGTTTTGACATGACTTTACCTTAATGAAACTGCAGAAATTCTATGAGAGTTTATCAAGCAAGGCTAGGCCAAAGCCCAGAAGCCCCTCACGATCTTCATCGCAAGAAGATGATCTTGGACAACGCCTTGAGGCTAAGCTCTTAGCTGCTGAAGAGAAGAGGTTGGCTTTGTTCTCCTGCTCTGAAAAATCAAAGCTAATTTGACTGGACTGGCGTATTCAAGCATTCTTTTTATAACTTACTCAAAAAAAATCGTATTCTCCCTTCCCCTTAATTTAAGATTGTGAAGGTCCTCTCCTTGACAAAATAAAAATAACGTTTATCTCTGGAAAGATAAAGATGGATGGAATTTGGAATCACTTTTGTGTACACTATTTTCAATGGTATTATATACCTATCAATTATTTAATTTTCAATATTTTCTGCGCGCTCCCTTTTGTTTATATGTCATCGTCTGCCAATCTCTAGACTGCTCCACTTTATCATGTCTGATCGTATTTTGATAATGTTTTATGGGTTCATAGGTTGAGTATCAAGGCAAATGCTCAGATGCGGCTGGCTAAGCTTGATGAGTTGCGGCAAGCTGCCAAATCACAGGTTGAAATGCGCTTCAAAAGGGAACGCGATGAGTTGGGCACAAAGGTCGAAATGCGGGTTCGGCAGGCGGAGGCCAACAGACTGCGCATTCTTCGTGCTCATCGGCAAAGGAGAGCCTATCTGAAGGAGAGGATATCCCAGTCACTAATGCGGCGAATGGCTCGTGAGAACAAGTATAAGGAACGAGTATGTGCTGCAATATCTCAAAAGCGGGCAGATGCTGAGAAAAAGCGGCTGGGGTTGCTGGAAGCTGAGAAAAGGCGAGCACGTGCTAGGTTCTTGCAGGTTCAGAAGGTAGCCAATAACATTAATAGCCAGCGAGAGATAGAGAGAAGTGAAATGAAGAATAAACTTGAAGAAAGATTGCAGAGGGTATTAATCATTTGTTCTAAAACATTCTAGCACGAGTTTTGTGGAATATGGCCTTTAAAAAAACATTTCTAAGAATTTTCTGTGAACAGGCTAGGAGAAACAGAGCAGAGTATCTGAAGCAGAGAGGAAGACCGTATAATGCTATTTACAATAGCTGGGACACCATTTATGAGGATGCTGAGGTCCTCGCTGTTAAATTATCGAGGTATTTGATAGCAACCTTCTTCATATTACTTGAATGCTACAGTTTTTAGTGTCTCTTATATTTACTCCCTCCTTAATTAGTTCTACATGCGGAGTTTGACTTCAGATAAGCTTATCCTGTCATCTTTTGACTTTGTTCTGTTTCATCTCTCTATAATATTCCAGGTGCTGGAGGGAGTTCAGGAGGCTGAGGAAAACCACTGCAGATATTGCTGGAGCTTATAATATATTGAATATAAACGAGAGTTCTGTGAAGTCCATGCCGTTCGAGCAGTTTGCACTTCTAATACAGTCGAGTTACACCCTTAACACAACCAAAGCGTTGCTTGAACGGCTCGAAACTCGCTTCAGAATATCTCGATCTACCCTAAATCCTTCTGTATCAGATGACATTGATCACCTCCTCAAGCGAGTAGCCTCCCCCAATAAGAAGGGTACACCTCGGAAAATGGCTTCCAACAAAGGAGGAAAGAGGTCTTCATCTGTTGGAAAAGCTGCAAAAGCTCCTGCTCACTTGTCGAGGTACCAAGTGAGGATTGTTCTTTGTGCTTACATGATACTTGGTCATCCAGATGCTGTTATCAGCGGTCAAGGAGAGCGTGAGACCGCTTTGGTGAAATCTGCGGCAAAGTTTGTGAAGGAGTTTGAGCTGCTGATTATGATACTACTAAATGGACCTGTACAGGTTCCTGATGAGGAATCTAATCGTGTCATGTTAACACGTCGAACCTTCAGGTTTCAGCTTGCAGCATTTGATTCTGCTTGGTGCTCCTTCTTGAATAGTTTTGTGGTGTGGAAGGCCAAGGATGCCAGGTCACTCGAGGAGGATTTGGTCAGGGCTGCATGTCGCCTTGAACTTTCAATGATCCAGACATGCAAAATGACCCCTGAGGGGGATAGTGCTTCTCTTTCGCATGATATGAAAGCTATTCAGAAACAGGTTTGTCCCGTATCCTTCTCATGTTTCAATAATAATAAAAAATTGTGTGGAAAGAGTAGAACAGTATTTTTCATTCAAATTCTACGTTGGAAGCTTGTAGCTGAGTAAAGTGAATTTGCTTCAGATTTTCAGTCTACGGTAATGTCATATTAACTGCACAATAGTCCCAACATTTCCAGGAATTAGTTGTTTGTTTTTTAACTTCATGAATCATCTGAATTTTATTCTGTCTATTTGTGATCGACTATTGCATAATGCAGGTTTTTGAAGATCAGAAACTTCTTCGGGAGAAAGTCCTACATTTAAGTGGAGATGCTGGTATTGAGCGTATGGAAGATGCACTTTCTGACACTCGAACGAAATTTTTCGAAGCTAGAGAGAATGGCGACCCGATTACACCACTGAGTCCACTTATGTTGTCCCCAATTTCACCTTCCTTTTCCTCGACTGGTGGCTCGGGAAAGGCAAATAACTCATCTGTGGCTTCTTCTCAAAAGCAAAGCTCGGTAGTGCGTTCTTTATTTAGGGATGAAGTTGACACATCTCAGATTTCTAAGGCAAGTTTGGAAATGGAGAATTTGAGAATTGTGAATGAATATGTTCATGGGGAGCAACCTGCTTGGTCTGATAGCTCTGTCGCAACTGGCGAAAATCAAGGGGATGTCATGGTAAGTGATTTTCCCAGTTTGCAATTTCTTTGCATTATCTGTTGTATACTATTTTGCAACTTGAGTTCATATAATTTCATGACAGGCAAAGATAAAAGAGACCATGGAGAAGGCCTTCTGGGACGGCATTGTTGAATCCATGAAACAGGACGAACCCGACTACAGCCGTGTTGTGGAGTTGATGAGGGAGGTGAGAGATGGAATTTGTGCAATGGCCCCTCATAGCTGGAGACAAGAAATAACCGAAGCCATTGACCTGGAAATTCTCTCCCAGGTATCCGATTGATAATTATTCCTAACTGGCGTGTTTGATTGTGTTTGTGTGTACTGTTCTGATAGAAAGAAAATTGACTTTTGGTTGTTTGGTTATTAGGTGCTCTATTATGGGAAATTGGACATTGATTATCTTGGGAATATTCTAGAATATGTATTAGTCACTCTCCGGAAGCTCTCAGCACCGGCCTGTGAGGATGAGCTGAAGAAAAAGCACCAGCAGTTCATAAAAGATCTGGCAGAGACATGTCAAGCTAGCACCGGCACACACTCACAGAATTCGCATGTGATTTCTTTGATCGAGGGGCTACGATTTGTTCTAGAACAAATTCAGGTCTTAATGCTGACCTGTTATATCTCCATTAGGATCTTTCATTTGAATGAATAAAACACTTTATTATCATGAATTGATTTTCTTTAATCAAATTATGTTGTGTAATACCAACTATTGTCAAATTACGCTTTCTAATGCTAGGACGAGAGTATGACGATCTTTCCTTTGTTCCACAGGATTTGAAGCGAGAAATCAGCAAAGCACGCATCAAGATGTTGGAACCACTCTTGAAGGGACCTGAGGCCTTATATTATCTAGGGAAAGATTTCACCAAACGTTTTGGGCAGCCGTTAAATGCTCGACCAGCCTTACCTTTGACCAAAAAGTGGCTTTCAGCTTCATGGCAAGTTAAAGACGAGGAATGGAACGAACACAAGAGTTTACTATCGGAGTTGACAAAGAAAAATGGGAGTTCACCAAATTATCTTCCTTCAACCGCTCTCAGAACTGGAGGAAGCTCGCTAGTCAAAATGACGGGTGCTCAGTCTGATATTTCATCTTCCAATTTTAAAGCTACAAGTTATATAGGTTAGTAATTATTAAAATATTGGTGTTTGCTTCCTTTTATGTGTTTATCATTACTTTAATTTGGGTCTGACTTTCAGCATGTCTTATTTGTATTTGTGTTCTCCAGAAACGATCGATCCTCATTTGGAATGCAAAGGAGAGGAGATCGATTTATTGGTGAGGTTAGGCTTGTTGAAGTTGGTGAGCAAGATACCTGGTCTAACCGAAAGAGAACTCCCAGAGACTATGAGCCTTAATTTCATTCGTTTGAGAAGTGTGCAATCCCAAGTTCAGAAAATTATTGTAATCGCAGCAAGGTATATTTGAGACAGAAAAAAAGAAAAAATCATAAATGCTCGTTATATATAAAAATTACTCTCTGATTTTTCTTAATTATCATTGTACTACGCAGCCTTTTAGTCTTGAGACAGACACTCGTGAGCCAGCATGTAGTAAGCAGCCAGGCACAAATGGACAGCATACTATTGAGCAGCTTCAAACGACTCTCAACATGCCTCGACTCGGATCCGGATTCTGGTATTTCTGACATCATTAATGTACTCGTCTCGTCTGCAGATCAGGACAACAGTGGACAACTGCTCGACTCGGCTAAGGTTCAGCCGATGAAGGAGATAATGTCCGGGATGTTGAGCAAGAGCCTTCAAGAAGATGACCCTGTTTTCGCTCGGGTTTCCTGGGCAGTTTACTTGGCCATGAGAGGAGTCGTTTTCGGGGGAACCGGAAAACAAGGGAGAGAATTGGCTGAGGTGGCATTGCAGAAGGTGGGGGCCGCTTTGCTCGTTGATGATGTGGCGCGTGCTGGGGCTGTGCTGGTTGTGACGGCTAAGGTTTCGGTTATTGTTCATGGGCCTTGGTATGCAAATTTGACAAGAGAGTGAATATTATATCGATATGAAGGGTTGTGTTTGATTGATCAGATGTGTGTGCATAGCAATAAGGTCTTGTTATTTAATCGTAAAAAGAATAAAAAATGGAAAATTTACTGTTAGTTTGATGATTGAAAAATGTAAATATGTGAACAGATTGTCTATATTATTTCTGGTTTATGTTGTTATATTATGTTTTCCAATTTTATTAATAAATAATAATAAATAAAACATATTTTTTTTTTCAGTAAATTTTCCAGACATAAGGACTCAAATCGCATAAATCCCAGAAGTAAATATCCTTACAAATACCTGCTGCTACAAATCAGTTAAACCCAGAAAGGAACAATGGGAATTCTAAAGGTTTTTATAGCCTTCATGCACCATAATCAAAATCCATTAAAATTTAGTAAAATCCTGAAAATTTAAGCAGCTACGCGCTTTCAAACCCAAAAATCCGAAACACACCTGCACAAAGAAAACGGTCAAATTGTTTCTTATATATTAAGAGAAACAAGTCGAGTAATTTGTTTTGATAGGGAGGTACCTTCATCAGCCTGGTATTTATTTTTATCGTCCCCAGCATATGCAAGCAAGTTGTACTTTGGATTCCATTCGACACTGTTCATTGCGGCCCGGCATGGGATCTGGTGAACCGAACGTCCCGTTTGGACATTGGCCTGTGGCACACAGAATTCTTTTTAAGAAAATATATATACACATATATATGATGAATGCACGAGGATCTGTATTCTGCTGGATAATTTTGACAAATGCAAGTTTATAGATATTTAGTTGTTTACAATATCAATGAACAGATCCTCGCTGGCCGAAGCTATATATTCTCCAGTGTGATTAAAACTAATTGTCCGAACGGGCCATCTGGACACAAACAGAAAAAAAAAAATTAATAATTACTAGGGTCATCTCAGCAATAACGAAATAGTGAAGTTGCTAAAGGATGCAAAAAAAAAAAAGAAAAAAAAAATCCACAACCGACTCAACGGACAAGTATAAACTTACTCGAGTTTTGTGAATGTACGTACACAGAGCATCTCTTTTATATCCCAAAGACTGACTAGAGAATCAGCACTCCCCACAGCAAAATATCTATGCCCGAAAA